CAAAAAGTCAAGTCTGAAAGAATATTTATATACTGTTGGTGGGAGTATAAACTGGCCCAATGACTTCAGAAAACTTAATAGCATTTAAAAAATTTTTTGTTTAAAAATCATTTATTTGAGAGAGTGAGAGACCCAGAGAGATCTTCCATCTGCTGGTTTACTCCCCACAGGACTACAATGACTGGGGTTGGGCCCGGGCCAAGCCAAAGCCAGGGGCACAGGATTCCATCTGGGTCTCCCATGTAAGTGGCAGGGGCTCATGCATCTGTGCCATCCTCAACTGTCTTTCCAGGCATACTAGTAGGAAGCTGGACTGCAGGTGCAGCAGCTGGGCATGAACCAGCACCCACAGGGCATGTCGGCACCACAGGCCAGTTCTGTAGCACTATTTAACTTAAAGACATGTGAGTCCCCCACCCAGCAATCCCATTCACAGATGCTCCCTAGAGACACTCTTAAATGTCCCCCCAAAATACATGTGCAAAACTGTTCATACAGGTACCACATGGAGCAATGAAAAAAAAATATTCTAAATGTCCATGTGAAGTCAACAAACAGAGGCATATTCACAGCTGGGACACTTGCCGCCAACACTCAGGGTCTGTGTGTGCCTCAGTTTCCTCACCAGCAAAGTGGGGAGAAGGCCACGATCTAGCTCATAGTGCTAATGCAGAGATCATGGTTGTTGATCTAGATGCTTACAAAAGTGCCTGGGGTACAGCACGCTCTCTCTGCTAAAGATGCTGTGATGCGGCTTCTGGCCTCCTCGGGACACCTGACCACACAGCAGCTTCTCCACTTTCTTTCAAGCTCCGTTGTCCCACTCCCGGATCAGGACAAGCTGCCCCTTCCTCTGTCTCAGTACCTCTGCCCCTGCGCATGCTCTGCCTGCTGCCTGACACCACTTTCCACTCTCTCTACCCACTGAACACCAACTTCCCAAGCCTGGACCCAGCACAGCAGGGGCGTCCTCCTCCACCTTTCCCTACCTGACTCTGGGCGTCAGTAATCTGCTGGGCTACAGTTTGTCTTTCCATCACCAGGCTCCTCAGCTCCCCCTCCTAGACTGCTGGACCCTGCAGGATCGCCTTCTTTGGTCAGCAGGTTGGATCACAGACTCCGCTACCATACAGGCCAGGATGCAAAGCTTGACTCTACCTTACTAGCTGTGCGCCAGCTGGTGTGTCTCACGGTTCACCAATCCCAGTGATCTTAATCAGGAAAAGGGACTCACTCACACGACTTGGCAATCAGAGATGACACCGGGGAAGCGCCCGCAGCGTGTTCACACTTGAATAAGAAGAGCTGTTCCCAGCCGCCCACCTGACCTCTCCTGCCTCACACCTATGGGTGCCGCGCAGCTGTAGGCAGCCTCCCTCCAGGCCGAGAGTCTGAGTCTGGCCAACCCAGCTGTGTGTCATCCCTATGCCAGCTGTGCTAAGCATACTTGGGGCTGAGCCGCCTTCCTCACGTTCCCTGCTCTTCCATCCACAGAGCAATCCTGGGCTTCCCAGGTCCCTAGGGGGTCAATGGCAGACAAGACAATGGCACCCCATGTCTGCCCACCCCTCTCCAGGCAGAGCACAGCCAGCCCCCTTCCATGAGACGCTGGGCCCAGCAGATGCTCCTTGCTTCAAAGGGGAAGCAGAAAGATGACGGTTCTGATTCAAAGCTGCCCTGGAGTAAGAGGGGCAGAGTCTGACCTTGAAGCCACCTGGCTCCCCTTCCATGGGCCAGGTTACACCAACAAGGCAAGGTGCAAGGGCATAAAGGAGCTGCCGGTCAGCCGAGCACTGTGCCTGTGCTTGCCCACACCCCGCTCACAGCCCCGGCTTCAGCTTCCCATCCGTCCCTGTCACAGCCCAGCCTGGCTCAATTCTTCTCCTGCAGCTGGCACCTGTTGCTATGGCAACGGGTTGTTTGGGAAGCTGTGGGATGATGGGCTGTGCCCGCAGAGTCAAGGCTGGGGCCTGGAGGAGGGAGCAGCCGTGGGCTGCCTCTAGCCAAGCCAGGCGGGGTCCTGGCTCCACTATGGCATTCCAACAATGTTGCCAACCCGGGCAATCCCAAGGCCAGGCGTCAGGCACACACGAACTGCCTGCAGCGGCAGAAGCCGACGCTTGAGGCTGCACATCCCAGGGCTGCTGACACAGGCCAGGACTGTGCCAATCACATGCAGCCTTGCCTGGGAGCAGGCACCGTGTCAAATGCCAGAGTCACATCATCTTGTCTTCGTCACCCGCCCAGGATCCGGACGCTTTCAACACCCACATTTGCAGATAAAGGAATTAGCTGGGGAAAGGTGAAGGCTCTCACCTAGGTCACTCAATCAGTGACAAAGCCAGCCAGGTCTGAGGGCCAATCAGCTGGCCGTGGCTGCCGGGCCGTGCTCACAGTGTGGTTGGGGAATGAAAAAAGGAAGTCCTGGCCCATCCTCTCATCCTGACAGCGCCTGGGGCTGTGAGAAATCCAGCCTCGGACAGCTATGACGCAGGGTTCAGGAACAGCACAAACTGGGCAGCACAGTGTGTACCAACCCGGACAGCCCTGCAAACAAAGGGCCAGTCCCATGGCAACAGGACGCTTGGGAGCTTCTGCTTGCCCAGGGAGCAGAGAGCCGCTTGCTCCCAACAGGGGTCAATGAGGCTGGACGGCCCTGCAAGGGCATTCCTGGGGCTAGTGTGCGGCACAGTGGTCAACATGCTGCCTGGGACCCCTGCAGCTCACACTGGAGTGCCTGGCTCCAGTCCCAGAACCATTCTCCAGTCCAGCTTCCTGCTAGTGCATACCCCGGGAAGTGGCAGGTGACGGGCCAAGTGCTGGGTCTCTGTATCCCTGTGGGAAATCCAGATGGAGTTCCTGGTTCCTGACTTCAGCCTGGCCCAGCCCCAGATGTTGCAGACATCTGGAGGGGAAAATCTAATGGGGACCCTGGATAACATGTTCAAAGGGAAATTTCCTCACTTTGCGCGAGTAAATCTTGCAATCTTTCTAAGTACTAATGATGGAAAGCACAACACTTGCTACATCTGATTCCAGCTGTAGGTGAACAAACATGCAGGTAGGACAAAGCTGGAAGACAGCAGGTGTACCACAAAGCCCACAGGAGCTAGCTCCGAGTGTGGATATTACAGCAGTTTTACTCCATTTTTTTTTTTTAAGATTTGTTTGTTTGTTTGCTTATTGTTTCCATTGGAAAGGCAGATATACAGAGGAGGAGAGAAGGAGAGGAAGATCTTCTGTCTGATGATTCACTCCTTAAGCGGCCACAACAGCCAGGGCTGAGCCGATCCGAAGCCAGGAGCCTCCACTGGTTCTCCCACGCAGGTGCAGGGTCCCAAGGCTTTGGGTCATCCTCAACTGCTTTCCCAGGCCACAAGCAGGGAGCTGATGGGAAGCAGGGCTGCCAGGTTTAGAACTGTGCCCATATGGGATTCCAGCACATGCGAAGCAAGCACTTTAGCCACTAGGCTACTGAGCCAGGTTCTCCTTCTTCATTTTCTATGACAAACATTTATTATTTCTATTTTTTTTTTGTTTTTGCTTGTATTTATTATTTCTAAAAGATCAGTGGGGGTGATGCTATGGCAGTTAAGCTGCCATCGTCAGTGTTGACATCCCATATTAGCACCAGTTCAAGTCCTGGCTGCTTCACTTCCTACCCAGTTACCTGCTAATGAGCCTGAGGAGGTAGGAAAGAATGGTCTAAGTGGGGGCCTGGTACAGCAGCCTAGTAGCTGAAGTCCTCTCCTTGCACATGCTAGCATTCCATACGGGCATCAGTTTGCGTCCCAGCTGTTCCATTTCCCATCCAGCTCGCTGCCTGTGGTCTGGGAAAGCAGATGAGGACGGCCCAAAGTCTTAGGACCCTGCACCTGTGTGGGAGACCCGGAGGAAGCTCCTGGTGCCTGGTTTTGGATCGGCTCAGCTCTGGTCATTGTGGCCACTTGGGGAATGAACCAGTGGACGAAAGACCTTTCTCTGTCTTTCCTTCTCTCTGTAAAACTAAGGCACTCTGTGTGCTCTGGGCTCGATGTGGAGATGAAAGCAAAACACGAAGCACAGAAGAGACAGCCAGACATGTGCTAAAAACTCAACCGCACGACACTGACACACAGCAAACAAGTTGTGTGACCTCATTTCCGCCTTTGGAGTATTGCATCTCAGCTACTAGCACAGGGTGGAGAGGGGGCTTCAAAGATTCATGAAAATGCACATGCTGGAAAAAATAATCACCCATTTCAACTGCTGCACTAAATAACAGAACTTTTTTTTTTTTTTTACCAAGAATACGCAAATTTAACATGAAGCAAGCAATTTACCTGTACCTTCCACGGTGGTAAGCACATTATTTTATACAGTAATTGCACTAAAAACAACTCCATTAACCTGAAATTAGCATGTCCTATTTACAGATGAAGAAACATGGAGAAATGAACAATACCCCAGCATCATTCGGCTAGAAAGTAGACAAAGTCAAAATCTGAACTTGGGACCTTCCAACTCCAAAGGATAAAGAGGAACGGGAATTTAGTACAGCACGTCAGGCGTCCCTTGGACCCCCGTACCCTCTCTCAGTCCCTGGGTTTGAGTGCCAGCTCTGCCTTCCACTCCACCTTCCTGCCTGGCTCAACTCCCACTGTTGTGGCCATATGGGGGGGCGGGGTCAGTCAGCAGATGGAATCTGTCTTTGCTTCTCCATTGCAAATTTTAAAAAACTTTCTTTTCTTTTCTTTTCTTTCTTTTTTTTTTTTTTTTTTTTTTACTAAAAGGATGATGAAATTTCCATAAAACTTAACAGTAATAACCCCTCGCAAGAATTCAGCAAACAGTTTATTTTCTCCTTTCCTACCTTGGGGGCCTCAGTCTGCCCAGCTGATGTTAGGTGGGTATGGGAAGTCATGTTCATTTAAAGCCCATTTGGCTGAAATGCGCAAACACCAAGACAGTGTTGAGAAAGAAGCCTCAGCGCTCCCAGCCCGTGCTCACCCTCAACTCACCCGAGTGGACCAGCTTCCTGTGCCAGATTCCTCTTGCTTGCGCTGGCCGAAGTCAGCTGGCCTTCTGTCCGCATCCTGCTCTTGGGTACCGGGTTCCAGCCCCCTCCTCAGCTTGGATTTTCTCGGCCCCATGAACGGGCCTGAGCAGGCTGTGCTGGCTCCAGGCTCCAGGGGGCAGCTGAGGCTGCCGGGAGGCTCCGCAGAGCGGGCACTTAGGAGAGGAACCAGCTCTCGCCTGAGCCCAGTGCAGGGCACCAATTCAGCGCTGCCCGTCTGCTGCTCCGAGTCCTGGGCAATGACAGGGCCGTGGTCGCCGGCAGCCCCCGCCATGAGCTCAGCTCCTCCTCGCTCCTCTGAAGGCTGTCCTAACTCACCCAAGCCCAGGGCAGAGCTCAGTGGAGGAGCCTGGGTGGCTGGTGGCAGTGCCCTGTCCCCTTCGGCCTCTAGGACACCGGCAGGCCCAGAGAGGCTGCCTGATGGGGTCTGGGCTCCTACAGAGGGTGACTGCTCCCACAAATCAGGTCCTGGGGCACACCCTGCCTGACATCCCCTAGCAGTCCCAGACCTGGACCCCACGTCCTCAGGATAAAAGGGGCTGCAGGTATCTCCCAGGAATGCCAGGTCAGCACCCTGGAGGCAGTGCCCCTCTGACTGGGGACTACTCCCACCGGGGCTGGCATCAAGCTGTAAGAGGCTACCAGCTCCCTCATTCCTCTTGGGACGGGTCCGACCAGTCCTGCAGCTCCTTCTGGCCCTCTTAGGGGCCGGACCCTTTCGAAGGGACTTGTCCCTGCTCAGTGTGGGGGTTCTTCTGTCACACTCTGGAGCCCCCAGCCCTCCACTGCCAGGGTCACTAGCCTTCTCTGCTCCTGCAGACTGCTCCCTGCTCGGCAGGGCTTTCTGGGGAACCGCAGGTTTGCAACAAACACATCGTTCAGCTAAGAAGTCACACAGAGCAACACAGAGCCTCCTGCAGGCCTGGGCCTGCCGCCTGGCGGGCTCTGCAGGCAGCTGCTCGGGGGGCCTGGGGCCAGCTAGGCACTCGGGGCTCTGGCTCCCAGCCACAGGCACGGAGCGCTCCAGGCCAAGCTCTGCAGTGCCACCAGCCTTGGAGCTGGCATTTCCCCGGGTTTTCCCCTTCCAGACCCTCTTCCTGCTGCCAGATCTCAGGGCCCGCCGCAGGTTCCATGCCAGGGACAGCTTCGAGTTGGCCTCTCCAATGTCCTGCTGGGAAAGCCGGCAAGCCCGTACAGGGCTGAGGACAGCGGCCTCCTCTGGGCTGGAGCCCTCTGTCTTCCTGTCCTGGGACATGTCTGCGCCCACAAAGGTCACAAGCTGAGTGCAGGCCCTGGTGGACACAGACAGGAGGGCTGCATCAGCCAGCGCCCAACAAGACGTAGCACCCCAGGGTGAGGGAAGAGGATCCGCCTCCACAACTTCAAGTCCTCTATGGGTCCCCCGGGTGCCCTAAGTGACTTCAGTAACGGTGCGCCTCAGCCCTGCGTGGGCTCACAGCACCCCTTCCCCAACCCAAAGCCCAGCTCTGAGGCACTGGGCGCACAGCACCCACAGCAGCCCCCTGCGGCCTGGCCTCAGGGTGCCACACCTGACTGGCCCTCTCCACAAGCCGCACACCCCCGCAGCCCGCAGGGGCTGCGACCACGTGACGCGCGGGGGCGGCGTCCCCGAGGCTGCGCAGTGGGCGGCTCCCCGCCGCAGGCGTGCCTTCCGCCCCCGGCAGAGGGCGCCCGCGCCTTCCCGGCCGAGGGCTTCTTGGAGGAGGCGCCCAAGGGCAGGCTGACCTGCTGGAGAGGTTCGCGAAGTTCCCGGACGTGCAGAGTTCCCGGAAGTGCCAGGCTCCTGAGTGGATGTCAGCCTTAGAACTACATGTTTTTTTCTTAATGAGTCGTTTTAATATTATTGTCTTCAGTATAATCCATGTAATAGATAATATGTGCGTAGAGCCTACACAAAAGTTGGAAATAAAGTAAAAGATCCCCACTGAGTCCCTAGTCATCCTCCCCCTCATCTCTGGAAATGACTTTTTTTTTGTTTTCTAATCCTGTTTTAGGGTCTTCTGGTGGTTTTGTTTTTTTTGGCTTCCTGGCTGTGGATAACACTTTTATATTACTCACTAATTTTCACAGACTGCAGATGCCCCACTGTGGTGAAGTTCTTACTCCTCCCAGTTTTTCTATTTTTTGTTTGTTTGCTTGTTTGCTTGCTTGTTTTATAATTGTTTTTCAAAAATGCTTTATTATTTTTTTATCAGAAAGATTTACAGAGAGGAGGAGATATAGAGAGAAAAATCTTCTATCCACTGGTTTACTCCCCAAGCGGCTGCAACAGCCAGAGCTGAGCCAATCCGAAGCCAGGAGCCAGGAGCTTCTTTTGAGTCTCCCACACAGGTGCAAGCTGCCAAGGCTTTGGCTCATCCTCTACTGCTTTCCCAGGCCACAAGCAGGGAGCTGGAAGGGAAGTGGAGCAGCTGGGACATGAACTGGTGCCCATATGGATGCCGGCTTTTGCAGGCAGGTGATTAGCTATCTGAGTCATCGCTCTGGCCCCCTATATTGATATTTTCTGATTTTCCCTGATTTCTGTCCTCCCTCCAAGGCATGATCTTCCGCGTCTGGTATGGCCCTTGGTTCTCCCTTGAGTGAAAAGAGCCATTCCCTGAGGTGTCCTCCCCGCACTGCGGCCGGGGAAAGGCAACTGAGTGGCCACGGTGTGTCAGCACCTTGAGTCCTTAAGTTGACAGCTGAGTGACATGGCTTGTATCATGATTATATAAAGATGTGCTGCTGCTGCAGAGTGAAAAGATGCTTTCCGCTCAAGGAACCAGGAACCTACCTGGCTCCACCAAGTGAATCAGCAACACAGAAGTGTCCTGGGGACATCAGCTGGCGAATTGTGAAAGCAACGTGGGTGAGCAGGTTCGCTGGAGTGGGGCATAGGAGGGAGCACCCTGTGTAGATCTTCATGTAAAAGCATTCTGAAAAAAATAATAGTGCATTACTAAATAAATACATAAATAATACAGCAAGTGAGCTTCTGGTGACTGGCTTGAAGTCTGTCACCAACTGGTTGTCAGAGTCCCAAATGAGGCAAGAGCCAAAGTTAGCTGTGATGTCACCATAGCCGTCGTGACTGCGCTGAGATGACCCTCCGCTCGGCGATGTGGTGGTCTTCACGGCAAGGGTTTGACCAAGTCACCTGACTCCCGCTGGCTACACGTGTTCCTCGTGCTAATTCCGTGTCCATCAGCTGTGCTGAGGCACCTGCACCAATCCTTACAGCCAACCTGTGGGGCAAGCACTGTTACCATCCTTACTCTAAATTTCTTTTGAGATTTATTTATGCATTTGAAAGTCAGAGTGACAGACAAGGAGAGAGAGAGAAAATCTTCCATTCTCTAGTTGAGTTCCAGTTGCCTGCAACAGCTGGCTCAAAGCCAGGGACCAGAAACTTTATCTGAGTCTCCTGCATGGATACCAGTGGCTCACGTTACTTGCACCATCTTGCATGGCTTTTGCTAGGTCTCAAGCAGGAAGCTGGAGTGGAGCAGCCAACACTTGAACCAGTGCCCACATGGGATGCCAACAACACAGTCAGTGGCTTTAGCCACTATGTACAGTGCCAGCCCCATCACCCTCATTCTAAAGTACTAAGACCATTAGCGGGGAGCTGGTTTGAAAGAAAAATAGCCTGGACATGAACAGATGCCCATGTGGGATAGAAGCAAAGCAGGTGGCAGTTTTACCCACCATACTGCCACAACAGCCGCAATGTTGATTTTTTTGTTGTTGTTTTGTTTTCCTTTTTGAGTAGTTAGCGAAGATTTCCTTTGGGATACGGCAGAACAGGGCACTTCAAAAAGTTTGCAGAAAAGTAGAATTAAAAGATACTCATTTTGTGGAAACATTTTTGAAATGCATGCATAATTTTTCATTAAACACAGTTCCCGGGACCTTGTGGAGTTCCCTTGTACTGTCAGCTACTGTGAGCATTCCCTGGGAGCTGCCAGGAGGACTGCAGGAGAGGACGCCAAGTGAGACTTCTACATGCCCATGCTGGAGCCCTGCTGGATGGGAAGTGATGCCGCTGAGATAAGAACCAGCACCCATACGGGATCCCGGCATGTACAAGGCGAGGACTTCAACCACTGGGCCATTGTGCCAGGCCCTAGAAAGATATTAAGGTGATTTGAATGTGTATCTGGTGATTTATTTTTCGCTCAATGGTGCTGCTAAATTTCATTCATATTGTTGCATTTACTCTGGCTGCTGTGTCTTATGCCACTGGTTATTTTTCTAGAATTTGTGCCTTTTCTCTTCTCACAGGTTACCTGGATAATTTCCAGGTTTTGGGCTCATAAGAACATTGTAGAATGTTCTGTCTATACAGGAATTTCATTTGCATATGAAACTAAGAGTGCAATGACTGGATGTCTTAGCCTGGCTGTCCCCACCCCACTAAAGCAGAACTTCAGACAGAAATAATTTAGGATACAGATAGTTTAGAAGAGATATCAGGAAGTAGGGGTAAGGCGGGGATGAGACCCAGGTCACCACTGGGGGACTTGAACCCTGAATTGTGGGCCTGAAGAACAGGCAACCACAGCCCTTATCTGCAGGTCCCTGCCCGATCCCCACCCACTGAGAGCTGTCCACAAATGCTAACTTCCCCTTACTCCCAGGCAACACCGGGGCTGTCCCCACCCTTCACCCCAAAGGTACAAAGGAGAACACCTCAGGCAGGAAAAAGAAAGTGCAACTGGTGGCCAAGGGCGCCCTTAGTCCTGGGTGCGGTGCGGTTTCCTGGTGAGCTGGGGGAGGGGACTCTGGCTGCAGAGGCCACTGCCAGATGGGCCAAGTGGCTGTTTGACTTTCCAGATGAATGCCCAACCATGTTTCCAGGTGCCTGTGCCAGCTGCCACTCCCCTTGGCAGGCGACGCAGCCAGCGAGCCCACAGCCTCTGACCGCATGGCCTCATATGGCCTTCCAAGGACCAATTTCCCCCTTCCCCCCACTCCTTTCCTTCTGTCTCGTCGCCCACTTTCCCTCTCCCCTTCTCCCCTACCTACAACACACATGTATTTTTTTTTTTTTTTTGGCCTGTGTTTCAGTTAGGAAGTTGAAAACATCCTGTCTTCCTGAGCATATTTATCTATGGAAAGATAAACTTTTCCATTGCCACAAAAAGGCCTCAAAACTCAGAGTCTTAGCACCCATGGGAGCAGAGAGGAGAGCCGTAGGCTGTTGAGGCGTGGCAGGGAGTGTGAAATCCCAGCGGGATCAGGAGTGGGATGACAGGGATGTGACAGGGAGCACGTGGCCTGGCCTGGCCTGCCCTGCCCACTGGGGCCAGCTTTGCTGCAGCCTGGAAGCATGCCTGGCAAGTGGTTGCAAGCCACTGGGTCCCCTGGGAGTCTGTCCCGGTGTCCTGGTCCATGCACTGAGGCCTCCTGTCAGCTGAAATCAGGTCGGCCAGCTCCGCTTCTCACTGGTAACCCCAGAGAGCTTCCTGTGTACCCCCACAGCACTCAGAGGCTGGGGCCTCACTGCTCACAACGCAGAGTTGCCTTCTGTAGAGAATCTGATGGTTGTCAATTAGCCTCTGAAGCTGCTGGGAAGGTCAAAATTTCATTTTCCCTTGCTGCCTTTGCATCTCCAGCTATCCATGTGGGGGCACAGGGGAGAGAGGGGACGATCCGCGTGATGCTGAGCAGCCAGGTGAGGGGCAAGGAGGGGGAACAGCCTGGCTTTGCAGAGGCGTCCCCTCCCCCAGCTCATGTCACTGGCGGCCCTGCTGTGCACCTGCTCCTTCAGCAGAAATTAGTGTTGCTGCTCGGCCTGAGCCTTGCCTGCAGGCAGTGCTGCCCAGTCCCAGCCTCAACACGCAGCTGCCCCCTGTCACACTGCCTCCTGGGTGCCCTGGTGGCCTTCAGGACCTGGTCAGGAACTGGCCAACTGGAAACCAGCCCTTCAGGTCTCAGCCATGAGGTTCCAGAATACAGGGCTGGTAGCTCCCTCTGCAAAGGCTCAGTCCTTGTCCAAAGGACACTATGCTACCCTGTTGGGCTACCAAGGACTTCAGTGGGTCTCCCGTGGACACCCAAGGCATCCGACGTCATTGCACCTGCTGGCCCTGCGCTGAGCACCTCTGCCTAGTTCACTGGACTTTGT